CAAGATACAAACTAGAAGAAAAACAGAATCATATAAGTACATCAGGTTTCATAGAGCTAAAACATTTCAAGTGCTACTCAACAGGCTTTAGATAAGCCAGTCCTTTATTAGTATATAAGTGCTTTGTTAGTAATTCTTTGTTAGTAATTCTATCGCTCGAAGTGGAGTCGAAAGAGATGAGAGAAAAAAAAAGAGTTGTATAAAAAGGTATTTGTGACTCTAGAGGGGTTCAAGTGAAGTCTTTTGCCTCAAGTGATGTCAGTCGAGTCAGCTTTGGTTGAGTCTTAAGACTTCAAGTTTGAAATATGGGTGTTGGATTTAGAAAAAAGCTTACCCGCTCTCTGTAGCGCTGAGGCTAACGGCTCAAGCTACATTAGCCACTCCTAACAAAACACACCAGAGGATGCGTTTGATTTGTCAGTTTAGCTTAGGAAGGTTCCTAATGAAGTGAAATGACCCGGATGTACCTCAGTGGCAGCTGAGAAACTCCTTTTATAATCTCCTTTATCTTAGAAAACACTGGACCTTCCTTTACGAAAAGAAAGGAAAAATGCTGTCCCACAATGCCTTGCAGCCGCAACATTTACCGCGGCACAACAGAACAGAAAACTGTAGTTTCCCCACAGCAGACACACATTCAAAACATCCGCTGGCGGGTCATAAACATGTCGGATAGTGTCAGTGCAGTCAGATTCTCTTGAAGACCGTCGTCTTTTCCTAAGTCCTTTTGAATTCTCCTATCCACTATTCCTTAACCCTGTGACATTTCACACGGAGGTCAAGGAATAGTGGTTCGGAAAAGGAGAAAAAACAACTCCAACTAAACTGTCGCTTGCATTGTGGGCAATATATACCTGCCATATTTTGACAGATCTCTGGTTCTGCTGCATGGATTTTTAGATCTCAAACACTGATCACACGCAGGCTGACTTTTCTTTGTCATATTTCAGGGGCAGCTTTATAAAGGCTTCACTGACTGCTTCTCCAGGACGCTGAAGAAGGAGGGCCTGATGGGACTCTATAAAGGCTTGGGAGCCTCTTATTTCCGGATCGGCCCACACACCATTTTGTCCTTGTTCTTCTGGGACGAACTGCGCAAAATGTACCAGCGCCAGCAGCTCAGATAACACAAGGGACAGGGAAGCTGGAAAATGGGTAACTCATTAAGCGGTTAATGAGGTTAAAGGAAAACCAGGAGATATTTTCTTGGTGTGGAAGAGAAGAAGCAAAGGTTACATTTTTACACTCCAAGATGAAAACAAATAAGTACTGTCAAACTATGACAACCTGCATAGGGACTCGGAGAGAAACGCGTTAGACCTCATGTACAGTTTGCTCTGTGTCAAACACTAGGGCTCTTTTGTAGCAATGAAACTCCTCAGGTGTGCCATTCCACAGATGTAAAATAGCGTGCACTGGACACACAAGAGTAGCTTCTGGAGAAAGCACGAAATGTGGCCACAGTTTGAGGAAATGAAGGGATTGTGCCAACACACACAGCAGCAGCAGAAGATGTATTTTAAAGGGAAACACAATGTATGATGTCAGGGTGAAACAGAGCGTTCAGATTTTACTGTGAAATTGTTCAAACAAGGCAACGTTTTGAAGAGTGTTGAGTGCTTATACAATGTGTGTGCTGGGATATTTTACAAACCAAGCCTTACAATTATAACATATCAAGTGTCTTACTTGTTAAAAGAGACACTTTCTTCGTTTAATTAATAGAAATAGCAAAAACATGTACATTTTTTAGTACATTTTTATTAGTTATTGATTATACTTGTTTAACAATTGCAACCATGATTAAGGTTACCTGAATGTACTTTACAATACTATTTAATATTTTAAGCCTTCATGCGTTGTTTGTTTATTTTTAAAGGGTCAGATACATAACAAATTAATTGTTACTGAATAGATAACGCCATTGAGCATTTCACTATAGATTTAGCTCATCTGCTAATGCACTTTTTTTTAAAGAATAGATATACAGTGCAATACAAACACACAATAAAACCAAAATAATGCTGATGAAGTACAGTAAGAGTAGATGGAGGAAGACATGATTGCCAAACGACTCCTCAAGAACTGCATTTTGAGTAACAAATTGTCAAAATTCACGAAGTTTAAACTACCTACAGTATATGTGTATTTTATATGTAGGTGGTGGTAAATGTACTTACTGCAAAAAAGTCTGTTTTTGTTTTACAATTTTAAGAATTAATTTATTATAACTATTTAAACTTTACATATAAATACATCATTATGCTGTTACAGTATGGGTTTTTAAAAACTTGCTTTTATTGTTATTAATAATATTTAGTTTCTAAAACATTTCATTTTTATTATTTTTATTTATTTAACTTCAATCCATTTTTGAGCATTTTTCAGTTTTTTTCAGGCCTCCGAGAAGTGCCTTCAAATTCCTTAAAGTATCAGATTATTAAAGTTAGAGTACAGAGGATGTCCACTCATTATGGGCTGGACAAATACATCCTGTACATATTTTAATTTGACCCTCTCCAGGTCAGCAAAAGTATACACCAGTGCTCCTAAATTAAATAAGCGTATAGCCAAAGTGAAGACAGATTACATTATGAATACAGTTTGTTTCCTCACAGTTTGAAAATATCTTTGGTCATCAGAACGAATCACATTTAACATGAAATAAACAAATTCAACTGTAAATATTTACATATTTGGTGCTTTCTTCATAACTTGCACAATACTCCACAAAGTGCCAAGGCTTTAATAATACATTATAAGTTTACTGTAGCTTTAATAACACATATTGTTCTGTCTTAACTCCTGTTAAATAACTCCTAACCTTATTTTTGAATTATGAAGATTTCCTGATATTGCTGTTTTTTTTTACTTTCCAAACAACCAGGTTAATTAAAAATTAAATTAAAAAATGCCCACTTGTACCGTGAACACATGTGTTCTAGAGTAATATAGAACAGGATAAACAAATATTATAATAAAGCTGGAGCAAACAGACTATAATAGTCTCTCCCATGACGCATTACTAGACAATGAAGAGCAGTCATTAAAGTAACAGCTTCAACACGTCTAACCAGAAATGATTCCTTTCAGACGTACTAACGTTTGTTTACTTCACATCGAGAATCTGATGACTTTATAAAACTAAAAGCAGATTAGAAACCTACTGGGAGGCTGTGGCGCAGTGCACTAGTGCGCTGGTGTTCGGATCAGGGGAGCACAGGTTCAAACCCCATTGCAGTCAGCATGTCGTTGTGTCCCTGAGACACTTCACCCCAAATGGCTCCTGTGGGGATTGCCCACAGTATTGAGTATGTTAGTAGCTTTGGATAAAAGCGTCTAACAAGTAACATGTAATAATACTGTGAAAAGTGACTGGCTAGACTGAGCCTTTAATAACAATTATTCAGCGGTAAAACATTTCATTTTTTGTACGTGCCACACTGTCCAAGTTGGCCATGTCAGATTCTGATGATAAAGCCATTTAGTTAATTTGTGTGGATAAGAGAGAGGGTGAGCGAGGCTCAGATATCTTTGTAGTCCTGTTTTAGTTATTGTTTTACCTCATTCAACCTAGCTAAACTATAACTTCAATACGGACTATTTTACTTGCGTCACATGATGAGCCCGAGGGGAGTTGTGGCTGGAGGTTAATTTCCTCCAGTTTACCAGAATGACTGTGATCTTCTGACTACATTCACAATTGTGCAATTGATGAATTTCCCCACCAACCTATTGTCTAATTGGAGAACAGAGAGTGCAGCACTGTGAGTTAATGCACTCATCAGGTTACTCCATTATCACATTGTGTAACATGCACAATTATTTTTGAGGATCTGGTTATTTTAGAAACAGAAAGTTAGATAAACAGAATAATAATTAATTATCTTTAAATAGTGTCACACGGCATGTTCTGAAATATGAAAGGAAAGCTAGGGTATCAATAGTTTTGCATTAGCATTATATTTACCTGTGCACTTGTTTATGTTGGGGAATAATTCTCCTATATCCACCTTTTGCCCTTTGACGTTTATGACCAACCCTGACGTCTGTTATCTCCCTTAAGGAAGGGGCTGCTTCAGCCATATGTTGTTGTTACCAGTTTATGACCGGGTAACTCTCGGTCACAAATGGTTTATTGTTGTGGGTACACTGGAACACTAACTTCTTGGGGTTTGTGGACTCCAAGGTGTGAAATCTTCGAGGCCATAAGCGTCAGACACAAGTAATTCAGTGTCCCTAGCTGTTTAGTCTATCTCCCCAAATATGTTGATTACTCTCTCGGAACTAGTTAAAAGGGCTATCGAGAGAGAGGCTCTTCAGAATTGATGTGGCAACTCAACCGTGTAGTCAGACCTCTGACTCCTGACTTGTTTTGTGAATTCTCCGGCCGAAGCTCCTAAATAAACCATCAGTGTTTGACATAAAATCTCCAGCTCTCCCCGTGTCTCCTTCCTGAGTCGGTGACTCCTCCTGCATTGCTACACAGAAGTTTCCCCCACAGTTTAGATAGAAGGCAAGTGGATGGAGGAAGTATTTAGATCCTTTACTTTAGTAAAAGTGTAAATACCATACTGTAAACATACTTTATTCCAATGAAAAAGCCTGAATTGAAATCAGAATCAGAATCAGAATACCTTTATTCGTCCCACAGAGGGGAAATGTACATTTGCACATACATACATGCACTCAAAGTATCTAAAGAAAAACCCAAAACCTAAAACAATCAATCTATTAAAAACTGTTCTTGTATGAACTGTGAAAACTGTAGTTTAATTTAAATTTTAATACAAAATATTTACTTAAAGTAGCTAAGGCTGTAAATGATATGTAGTGGACTAAAAAGCATAATATTCCCTATGAATGGTACTGAAGTAGAAGTATAAATAAGATATCAAAGTAAAGTACAAGTACCTACATGTTATACTTGAATACATACCACCACTGATATAGTAAGATACAAATGGTGATGAAAAACACATGACAAAGAAACTATTAACTATTATTTTATCTACCTGCAGGCATCAGGGTTTTATTTTTTCACTTGCAGTAATGTTTATATATATCATGTCACATGTGTGCAACAACAGGCTTTAATTTTGTATATTTTGTTTGTATTTTGTCATTGTAGTTTCACTAGATTCACTTGCAGGTTTTCTTTGGTTTTCTTTGTGTATATGACACGTCACATGTCTCGTGTCAGCTGGGTCACCATGCCATGGTGCTGGGTCACCATGCCATGGTGCACAAGGCTAATGCTGTGTAAAAGGCAAACAAAGAGGAAACTGGAGGAGGTCAGTTCTTTATGTACACCTTGATAATGCTCGACTAAGGTCTTTACAGTGCTGACACAAAGGTGAGTGAAGGTGACAGCTCTTTTAAATCTTACATTTGATTACAGAGACAATTATAAACACCATCATTAAATAAAGAAATGGTTTATTATCTGGTGATATCTCATTTTGTGAGCTGTTGGATGGAAAACACGCTCACCTTACCGAGTGTGTCTTGACTCTTGGCTGAGCTCCTGCAAACATCCAGTGTTACCGAGCAACAGTGAGTGTTTGAGGGCGGGCGTTGCCTGAAGCATATAAACCTGTTAATGGAAAGCTTCTTGCATACAAAATTAAAAACGGTTGCTTAGGAGGAAATAATATAGTTTTTTGACATAATATACCATAATTTGTTTCTGACATACTAAACTAACTTTTATGACATTACATTCAATGTATTTCATTCACAAACAGTTTCAAATACAATCATAATACATGATGGAGATATGTGGAATGGGACACCCCAATAAACGATCCAGACACTAAACAGGAAGTCCAACACATTGTACGTGATGGAGCGGGACTTCTCTCAGCAGTTGATCAATCACAACAGAGAAATACAAATATGCACCTGGAAATTAGCATAATATATCCTCAATATGAAATATCTTAATGTAGCATACAGCCATATATATATATACAAAAAAGTGTTCTGTACTGTAAACATTTCCTGCTACATCTGTGCTGTATTTGTAGCCATTCTTATTCCAACATCTGGCACAGAATCCCAAAGCATTTCCTCAAAGGACAGGAAGGATTTGCATATGATGTGAGTGTTTGTTCATCACTGTCCTCCACCTCTACTCGCTCTTCTTCTTGGTGGCATCAGGGCAGAGGACCTGAGCGAGGAGGACGCAGCTGAGACAGGCTGACAGGGTGTGGGACACCGTGGCTAACCAGTTTCCTGTCTCCTGTAAGACACAGTTTGGAGCAGTTAGTAAAGATAACCATGAGAGATTGGAGTATAGCGCATGCTGTGTTTCTGTCTGAGCGTACCTGTAGAGACACAAAGATGAATCCCAGAGAGCCGGCCCAGGACAGAAGCACCGACAGAGAGGACAGCTGGCCCGTGCTGTCGTTACTGTGGTTTGTTCCAGCCTGGAAGACCTGGAAACAACAATAACAGCAAATACATTCTCTGTCCTCTGATAGATTTACATTTTGCATGCTTACTTTTAGTTTGTCTCAAAAAGCCATGTGTGTAAAAAAGTGATCCACTAACAGAGATGTAAGAAAGATATTCACAAGTGTGATTTGTTGAGTTGTATTTTATAATTAGAGAATTCACAGATTTTACTTCATGATTTTCCAGATTCAAGACTTTAATAGTCATTTGTACATATAGCTACAGTGTAAATCTGAGTTCCTCCAACAGTGCAACACAATAAAACAGATAAAATAGTGCTAGTGCATTTGTAGCTTTGTATGTGTACTTGCTAAATATTTTTGTGAGTTTGCACATTTTTCTTTTGCATTTGTGGAAGGTGTTTTCCATTAACACATTTCACGCATTATTGGTCTGTTCATACATAATAATTTTGAGACAAATCATACAGGTTGTAATGGTCATAGGACAGCAAACATATTGAGCTGCAGAGATATGTTTGAGTTGCTACCTTGCTTGCTATTACGGCTGGCAAACTGGAGGCCTGCATCGCTGAGACGACTGCTGCCGCTGCATAGGACGCCAGAAGGAAAATGGCCCCTCCGAAAGCCAAGAGGAACAGAATTCCTGCCATGAAAAGAGAATAACAGGAATGAATAAGGAATTTCATGCACAAAGAAAAAAAAAGGCTACACTGAAAACCAGCTCTGGTTTCAGACAGAGGGTGAAAAGAGGTAGGCAGTACAGGAAAAATAAAGACCTTTTTAAACATGTCACAGTAGAGGCACACAAATCAAATATGAACTTGAAGATGAGCACAATATGTCCTCTTTAACTCAGTGAATAGTGCTCTCTGAACACAAGGTCCCTCTGAGAAGTGTATGAGTCACAAGATAACGCCACAAGAGGGCGCTCCAGGAAAGCATTGAGCAAAAACATTAAACAGGAAGACTTTATGAGTCACTGATAAACCCCTCTTCGCATCAACATCACACTGAACAACAACAGAGCTGCACACAAGCGTTTTAGTAGCAGAAATATATATACTATTAACGTACTCATACAGGATGCACAGGACCTTTTCATTTGTCAATAAAGCATTTGACTTCTTAATGTTTGATCTGACTCTACAAAAGTCACCTTCTGTGAAAATACAGTTATGACTTTTGACTATATATATTTTTATTGAATAACTCTGTAGAGTCTTTAAGCTTGAAAAAGGCAGGTTGAAGCCTTGCTGAGGCTCCATCTAGATAAACCTAATCAGAAGCTATTTCAATGGTTCCTAAATGTAACTACTGTACACTATGTGCAGAGTTTGACCCTTGAAGGCTGTTTCTTCTGCTCTGAAATGGAATATATTTGTTACATATTAATAGAATTTTAGATTTTTTGATTTGATTTCGGATTTGTGAATGGGAGAAGTAGTAGATGGAAAACATACCAAACACTAATTATTCAAAGTAAAGTACGGTTTATATACGGTAATACTAACGAGGCATAGGCCTATATGATGATATAATGTTTGACATTATTGATATTAAAAAAGTGATTTGTTTTCCATGTCATTCGTGTGTTTTTCTTATCAGAAATGTAGTTATTTATTTGTAAGCTCCAAATCCAAATGTTTCCCTCAACGGCCTTTGCGCCCTGAAAAAATGTGTGACACCAAAGGCCAAATGGCTTTGCCCCTAAAATGACAAAAATCCAAGCCTGATTCTGACAAAAGGTAGTGTGGTTTTTAAAAGATGTTCAACATCAACAATTGTAGGCAATGTAATGAGGGTATCATATTTGAATTAAAAAGTAAATAATAACAAAGGATTGGAAAACAAACTATGTAAGGAAATGGTTTAAAGTAACTGATGATAACATGCATGATTTTGTAATGACCAAGCTTGGGGGGGGGGGGGGTACAACTGGTACAACATGCAGCCGCCAGATTCCTCACACACACCAGATCATGGCACCACATCCCCCCAGGCTTCCCGCCAAAAAAAATGCATACAAAGTATATTCATATTGTGGAATATGAAATTAGAAAATTGTGCTTCAGTGTGCGCTAACCTGTGAGGGTTTGGCCACGATAATACAGGATGAGGAAGACAATGGCGGCAGTCTGGGTCAACGTGATGAGCCTCTCACCCCAGGCACTGCGAAGAAGTAAAACACATCTATGATAAGTATAATAACAGATATACAGTCAGCTGCAGACAAAAGCTCTCAGAGAAACATCCTTCTCTGCAGAACATTAACAGTCTTCCTGTTTAACTTGGCAGATTCGCATTAAGGAGTGTACATTTGATTGAACTCAGTGCACACCCAGTGGCTTGTTCAAACAGTGAGTCATATATTCATAAACTGAAGCTAGCTGAGGAAATAACTGGTGAAACGAGGTTTGATGTTGGGCTTGTTGTTGACATTGGAGTATACTAATAGCATCACAGAAATAGATGTAAACAGTAAAGTTAATGCATCTCAACTCAGGACCTATTGACACAGTAGTAAGAGGAATAATGAGTAACATATGCAACTGATTAATTAATGACTTGTGGTCTGATCTACCAGTGAATCAGACAGAGAACTCTTTTGTGTTTTTTCGATGCTATATACGTACAAGAGGGGGAAGTGGTGTGCTATGGCGTACACGACAGGACAGGAGAAGGCATAGAGCTGCAGCAGGGCGGAGGTCAGACTCAGACCGTCTGCACTTCTTCTCCACAATATCTTCAGCAGCTGAGGGAGCTGCGCTGCACAGAGACCACAACATGCAGTCAGTGTCAGGATTAACAATACATATCTTTACAAATGAGTAAAACATTGAACAATTGCAGTGGAAGACGGAAACATTTCGCTCTTGATTTGCAATTATTGTCTGTATTTCTTTGAGGGGGAGACTGCTCTGTTTCTTCTTCTTCTTATTATAATTATTATTATTATTATCATTAAAAAGAATGTGGAAATATGAAAGGTTATTGTATGTCACAGCTAATGTCATAATATAGTATTTTCATCATATAGCAGTTAGCCATAAAAGAGTCATAAAAAGGCATAGCATCATATGCAATACAAATTTGTTAAAAAATTAAGTATATCATACACATTTCACAAAAAAGTTGTAGTATAGTTTAATGTAAAAGAGTACTTGTATAGTATGTCATAACATCTCACTTTAAAGTCATTAAAAAGTCATAGAATAATAGAGTATGGCATGAAAAGGTGATAGAACAGTATAATCATAATTAATGGTATTTATTTGTAGCTCTTTTCCCAGTGCTCAAAGGGCTTTACATTACATATTACGTATATAATACATTGAATACTGTGGACAATACCCACAGGAGCAATTTAGGGTGGAGTATAGTAGGTTAGGTCATGGAAAACTCACAGTACAGTACTGTATGTCTTCTTACTAGTATTCTTACTATCCAGATACAATGCTCTACTTTATTTTTGCAGTGGCAGGGTTCAGCTTCGAAGAGACATTTAGAGATGTCACTGTTTCTGCATTTCAGATATTTAAATGCAGTGGTGTTGTGATACCATCAGCAGGCCTGATGTTGACATGGTGATCTACAGTGTTCAGCGTTACACAACAATTTACCAGAAGAGTGTGTGACTCATCACAGTGGTGGCCATTGATCAATCATTATGGAGAGGACAGACTTCTTTGTTACTGTTGCATGATTACATCAGATGTAAGGCTTATCTTCTTACCCAGGAAAGTGTCCAGTAAGATCAAAAATCCCACAACTCTGTTCATCACAAACCTAAGGCAAGCCCCTGCAACATAGATACAAACAAATATTAAAAACAATAAGAAGTGGGAGAAGTACTCAGATCTTGTACTTGAGTAAAAGTAGAAGTACCAGAGTGTAGGAATACTCTGTTACAAGTGAAAGTCCTGCATTCAAAATGTTACTCAAGTAAAAGTACAAAAGTATATTTAAAGTACCAAAAGTAAAAGTAGTCATTGTGCAGTTTGGTCAATTTCAGAATAATATATATGATATGTTTTATAATTATTGATCATTAAAGTGTTATCAAAGCTGGTAAAGGTGCAGCTTAATGACTTTGTATACTGCAGGGTAGCTTGTGAATTTACTTCAGGTGGAACTAAAGTCTGATTTAAGACTTGATTATATTTCAAAACATTAATCCAGATCTGTAAAGTAACTAAAGGTATTACATAAATGTAGTGGAGTAAAAGTACAGTACACGTCACGATTTATCTCTGATTTGAGGTGAAGTAGAAGTACAAAGTAGCATAACATGTAAACACGCAGTTACAGTAAAGTACAAGTAGGCCTACCTCAAAGCACAGTAGCCTACTTGAGTAAATGTAGGCTACCTAGTTATTTTACACCCCTGCTTATGTGTGCATTAAACAGGATTTTGTAAACGAATTACGGAAATAATAGCCACATTTAACACATTATCACAGTTTGTAAAAACGCTAAACACAGTGCTAGGCTAGAGGAGAAACGCCTCCTCACATCTGGATATTTCTGCAGGATTTACCCAGAGACTGTTTATATATTAATAAACGCTGTTCGTTCTGAAACGTCCTCGCGAGGAGCTCACCGTTCATGTGAAAGTTGACGAAAAACCTCTCGTAACATTTTTCGGGCATTAAAAAAGTAACCAGGAAGTTTTTGAAGGCAGACGGGGCCATGGTGGAGCTGCAGCCGGGACTGGTGCTCTGTGCCTGGGGGAGGGACTCTGAGGATCCCCGGTGTTTACAGAGGAGCCGGAGGGTACCCTGACCTCTGAAGACCCCCCTCTCTCTCTGATAGGTTCCAGTTATTAATTGTCCTGCTGTTAAATATAGGCATCTTAAATAATGATAGCTGCATATATTTTTTGTTAAGCATTTTGTAACTTTAACAATGAACTATACAAACAACCTTTATTATTAATATGATGTATTTTTCTTTTTATAGAAATACTTGACTTGATTAGTTTTTGGTGTAAAGTTGTTGCTTTTTCCCCCCATGTGAAGAATGGGCCATTTCAATTACATGTTGCTCTCCTTCCTTAAAAAAATAGATTATAGGAAAATGCAAATATTAATTTGTGTTTTCAATTTTATGCATGTGAAAAATAGGCAATTGAAATGACATCTCTTTATAACTACATTTAGAAGAAGTTTTATTTTTCACTTAAATCAAATAAATAAATAATAATCATAATAATATAGGCAACAATACACATTCAAGATTTTGCACAATAACGTGATAACAAAATAAAAAATTGCAGCGGGGACTTATACAAATAAATAATTGAATAAATACATTCCTTAACATTATTTGTAAGGGAATCCTAAATTCATTACAATACAAAAGACAACTTCCATATTTCTAAGTTTTCATCTTCAGACAAGAAAGCCATCAATTACATGTTATGATGCATTGCAGGTTTGACTCCCTGGTTAGATATCTATATATTAGGGATGATTTAAACAGGTAAGTACATCTTTTACAGAGAAAATTCCATTCTATTGCATGAAATGAGGAGAGACGTGTAAACATAAAATATACATACACATGACAGATTTCCCCCCCCCCCCCCCCCCCCCCCCCCTATTTAAGTAAGAGTATAGTGCAAAATATGCAAAATTAAAATTACTCAAATAAAGAACTCAAGTGTGTGTGTAACTTATCACACCTCCCTCACCATCAGGGGACTTGTCTTCTCTAAAAACAGGAAGGAATAGAGCAGGAGAGTCAGTGCAGCCGTTAGTCAACATCCACTCTGACAAGATGTGTACTGCAAAATGTTCCAAATGCATCGCCTTTTCTCTGTATCCGTTCGTGTTCATCTCCATCCTCTGTAACATCGTGCTGTTCTTCCCCGCCGGGTCCGTCAAGTTCGCAAAAGAGGGCCACATCACCGAGGAGGTGAAATACATGGGGGGGCTCCTCGGAGGAGGAATCATGGTGAGTGGAAACAGACAGTGTTACAGCAGCAGAATAAAGGCAAACAAATAAAAAGACAAAATAGAGACAAGCCCATATTAGTCAAAATTAAAATAAAGACTAATAGGTGCACATTTTAAAAGCTAAGTGAAATTATGAATGTGTAGAGCTTGTATATAATGCATGTATTGCACGTTTTACACTATTGCTGAGTGAAGTTGCAGCAGAATAACGACTGCATTCTGCTGCAACTGCGAATGCAAAAGAGTGTATATCGCACATACAGTAGCAGTGTTATTACATGAGATTGTCATAGTCAGTATTGTTTGGTGGTCTATCAGGGGCCGTGGTGGTTGTACAGTCTGAAGGAGGTGACTTTGGAATAGATGTAACTTGTTTCAGAATTGTGCTGGCTATGGTAAATGAACAACATTCTCTATAGCGTTTGTTGAATTAGTTTCGGCTGTGGCTCAATGGATAGAGTGCTGGACTTCGATTCAGGGGGTAGCAAGTTCGAGTCCCACTGCAGTCAACATGTCGTTGTGTCCCTGGGCAAGACACTTCACCCTAAATTGCTCCTGTGGGGATTGTCCACAGTACTGAATGTATGTAAGTCGCTTTGGATAAAAGCGTCTAACAAATGACATGTAATGTAATGTAATGTAATGTAATGTAATGTTTCAGTAAATTAGTTCTAATGTGGTGCTAAATTGGTCAAAATATGTGTTTTTCTTAACTAGCTATTTTTTACCAGAGTCAACACGTATCCCATTCTAGTGTAAGAGACCTTCAAGAGGCACCAAGACTTACATTTTTACTATTTTGAACATGTTTTCACACAATTGCGTCCTCTTATTCCCTGACAACTAATGTGTTCCTCCACAGGTGTTGATCTCATCGATTTACATCAACTTCACTGGAGAAAATGGCTGCTGTGGGAATCGTTTTGGGGTGAGTCAGTCAGACAGCTAGCTAGAGTGCCTTGAGTTCACATTGTTTTGTCAATCTATTATTTCTCAGGGGAAGAAGAACATTTGACTAGATTCAAGTGTTTGATGGAGGTTAGTCAAGCTGAGAATGACTCAATAAAAAAAAAAAGGAAAACAAATATGCTGCATAATGCTGCATCACCATTGCAGAACATGAATTCTCGATAAAGGAATGAAAATGCACATTTCGTTTCCCCTTTTCTTACTTTAAAAAAAGCACACTCATTTCTATCGTAAGGGCGTCGGTTCAACCAGAAAAAACACTGGTATAATCTATACCAGGGGTACTCAAATACAAATCTTAAAGGTCCAAAAAAAATGTTTCAATAAGACAAAGGTCCGTTTATTACAACAATTGCAACAAGATTCTTAACACGAGGTTGCAAAAACAAAAATAATCTGTATGCAGCAGTTTTCATTGTTATTGTGTCTGTGCTTGATCCCTCAGAGTCGCAGTGTAAGAGCTGCACAGTTATGAATAAAGGCAGCTGCACCCTCTTTCATTCAGCATTCCCATTATTGCTTTATAAATGTCTTGCCCCCTTGTGTGTCCACTGAGGTTCGTCAGGCCCAACACATCTTCAACAAACTCCCCCTTTGCCTCATCATAAAAACTCACAAACACCAGCAACTGAGCATTGTCAGTGGTGTCAGTGGACTCATCCACAGCTAAGGAAATGCACTGTGCATTTTTTATTCCATCACAAAGCTGATTAATCAAATCACCAGCCAGTATTTATGTTCTTCTGGTTGCTGTGGAATCTGAGAGGGGGATTTGCTTGATTTGACCTGTTATTTCCTCTTTTTGTTTGCCTTCAAACATGGTCTTCATCACTTCAGTCATGCATTCTTTTATACTTCAGTTATTATCCAGTGGAATGTCCTTACCTACTGGCCTAGTTAAATCAAAGTGGTTACTTTTTTTTGGCTGGGCAGTGTAGTTTTACACACCGTCTTATTTGACTTTCTCAGGACTTAAAACTGTTTTTTGGGGGCAGACCCCCACAAAGAAAAAAATATATACACGTAAGGTCATCATCTTAACAGTTTTGTATGCTCATCCGTGAGCAGAGCATCAAGTTGACATGTCTATTACAGCTGAATGCGGCGATTACCATTTTGTTCAGCAAAACGCCTCACAAACTTATTAAGATCAACAGCTTTAGTGCGTTTTGATTCAATGCTGAGTACAGCCAAACTTGACAGTCTCTTCTCTGTCATTGTAGACCGCAAATACCTCATTCCTTCAGTACTTGGGTCCGAATGCTTCTCGTTTTGCGCCGTCCCGTTCAACTGAAATAGCCGCCAATCATATTTCCACGCTCACGCCAGGGACGGGGGAGGGGTTACAAGACGTGCATCTTGTGCTGCATTCACTTGCACTCGGACATTAGAGACTTTCTCTCATAAATGTCAGATGAGCCACAACTTTTCTTTTAAAACAAAGCTGCCAACTGGGGTGGCAGCTGGGGTGGCAAGGCCATTTTTTAGGGTGGCAGTTACCACCCCATGCCACCCCGGTAGGTGCAACTAGGCTACTAGCTACAGTACAGATGCAACTAGATGAGCTGTTAACTCTCGCTCTGACTTTTTTTTTTGTAAACTCTCGCTCTGACTCAGACAGGTTGAAAGAGACGACACACGCATTTTTCCCACCCGCAAACCGCGAAGACCCGCCCTACTGTGCCTCTGATTCGCAGACTGTTGGTGGGGGGAAAAACGCTGACGGGATGCTGAATGTGATTGGACCAAAGCGTTGACAGACACACACAGACAGTGTGGAACAGTCTGACATGCAGAGCGCTGTATGCAGCGGACATAGCGGATAATTTTGACTCGTTGCGTTGTGGCGATGTCTCGCAGATAACACAGATAATACAGATAATACATTATGAAAAGTATAATTTGCTCAGAGTCCAGAGACAGTTGTGGTTCGATCCGGACCGGAGTCCGGACTTTGAGGATGCCTGAAAATATTTTAAAGGTCCCCTATGATACTGTTTTTCATCAATATATTATAGGTCTCAGATATATACAGAACATGTCTCTGATTGGCTGAAACACCAAACAGATCATTGCAGCATCCCATAATCCCCTCTGTTTCAGCCCTGTTTCAAAAGTGCTGATTCTCTGTCTGTTACTTTAGATGAAAATAAGGAGCCACTCCCCACGCCCCTCTGAGAGATATTTGGTTACAAAGAACACAATGGTGCTCTAGGAGGAGATTCAGGTGATAATGTGGGGGGGGGGGGGGGGGGGGGGGGGGGGGGGGGGTTACCTTTGGTTGGTGATTGGCTAATGGTTACACAAGCCAAAACATCGTTATGACATCATAAAGTGGCCAAAATCTGATCAGCTCATTTTCAGACAGGTTTTTATATAAATGGATCAGGACAAAAAGAGAGGGGGTATTTTTTCATGACACTTTCAGAGTCTCTTTACACAGAGGAGACACGTGTTGATGTAGAAAAGACATGTAAACGTGGATTTTGCATAATAGGTGACCTTTAACATCTAAATCTCTGACCTTTCTTTGTCATTTGACTGCAGATGTTCCTCTCCATTGCCTTCGCTGCAGTGGGGGTGGCCGGCGCTCTGTACAGCTTCACTGTGGCGATGGTCGGTCTGGGCAGTGGGCCCCTCTGCTACGCTGGGGGCAAATGGACGACACCTTTCAAACACAGGTTACGAACAGATTTCCGATTAAAAAAGGACATATTATGCTTATTTTCAGGTTTATATTTGTATTTTGTGTCTCTACTGTGACATGTCTCCATGCTCTAATGTTCAAAAAGGTCTTTATTTTTCTCATACACCTCTTTTCACCCTCTGTCTGAAACCAGAGCGCAGTCTGCTCTGATTGGTTAACTGGACGGCTCTGTTGTGATTGGTCAACCGCTTACAGATGTCCCGCACCTTAGCCTATCATGTACAATATGTTGGAGCGCTAGCGGGTGTTACTTAGTGATGTCACTATGTTACGGAAGTAAACAAAGGAGTCCAATGGAGGCGTTTTCTCCCTCTGAAGGAAACTTAAGCCTTTGTCAAAGTCAAAGTCAACTTTATTGTCAATCTTTCAGTTTGTGAGAGATCGAAATACCGTTTCTCACAATCCTGAATACAAAAACAAATATATATAAACATATGTATACAAATATGTATATACCTATATATACACAATCAAAAGACACATGTATACATATGCACACATTAAGACCTAAATAAAAGCACAACAATCAATATATACAAAATAACAGTCACTTCAATATCTTTGAGAATGTACATTAGTGCAAGACTGTCCATAGCAGCGTAAATAAAGTGTCTGGTGCTGGAATTTTGCAGCCCATTTACATGCACAAAAACCTATACAACACACTATATGAAAAGGAAACCCTCCAAAAACAGAATAGGGCCCCTTTAAAAACGACAAAGTGGTGGTCATTTAAGCATCTTATTTCCCACAGTAATACCTCCTACCTGGCCGACTCTTCTTTGTGGGCAAAGTGTGAGGTGCCTAAGAACGTGGTGCAGTTCAACGTCGGGCTGTTCCTCACCCTGATGGCCACCAGCTGTCTGCAGGGGCTGCTCTGCGCCGTGCAGATGATCAACGGCCTCGCTGGCTGCCTGTTTGGAGCCTGCAACGAGAAAAAGCTGAATGAAGTCGCACATTCATCATAAGCAAAGGCAAGGCAAGGCAAGTTTATTTACATAGCACCTTTCAACACAAGGCAATTCAAAGTGCTTAAGAGCATTAAGAAACATATTATAAAAGGGCATTTGAAAACACTCCTTTAAAAGCAAAGATGATAAAACATGAATATCAAAGGTACATGAATTAAAGTGACAGAGCAGTGTGAGATACACACAACTGAAATGTTTAGGTCTGACTCAATCATTGCTCACTTTTTAGCAGAAATAGTTTCTTTCTACTTTCTTTTTTAACTTATTATAGTAGTCTGAAGCAGATAGATAGATTCTGTTTTTATTATATTTGATGTGTGTTTTTTAAAATTCAGGAACCATGAATCAGGAGGAACTAATACCACTTCTGAAGATTTGAATGGCGCCACCTACTGGAATGCTGGGAGAAGTTCGCTTCGCTGGTTCTGCATCAAACGCTGGCTTTGAAGTTACTGACACTCAACTCAAACTTTATCCCATAATTGTTCCTCTTTTAGGCCCTAATGATCTTCCAACAGCAACTTCTCATAAATAATTCTAAATGCTATAGCGTTAGCATGTATAGTTTGAAAAACAACATAATTCAGGAAGACGTAAAAATCTATTGTGCATGCGTTTTTCCCTGGCCCTAAACTCCACCATACTCTTGTCTACTGTATTTGATCCGACTTTAAAAACGTTAGCTTCATTTAATTATCCTTTACAATGTTGCACAGTATTAAAAATAACCAATGCTAATTATAGTCAAGTTTTACTGTGTCAAGTATATCATTTTATTGTTGACTGCAATAAACAGCATGCAATACGGTTACAGTATCTTTATCTATACAAATGTTTCAGAGTTATCTAAAATTGTTGGACATGTAAATTTACTTTTGAACAGCTGACTGTTATGAGAGCCAACAGGTTAGATATCAGGAAGGTTAAAGTGTCATATTCACCTGCTGATTCTCCTAGCATAGTCAAGTGTATACTGCTGTTTAACAAAACAAAGTAAGCTTTTTCACTGCTTATTGCCTGATAACGGGGAGAGAAAGTGGATTATGGCACACTTTCTTTTATGATGCAGCACCACAGGAATGGAAATAAAAATTAAAAAAAGTCAGTAAAACACTTGTCATATATCCATAAAATGAACAATCAGCGCCTGCCCTGCCCTGACATGTTATCATGAAGGTGAATCATGTACTTCTGTTTGATCCTAACACAGGAGGAGTACAGTAGTTACTTTAATCCTTTGATGAACGTGTCAATACACAATTTATGATACTACTATGATTTATGTAAGACAACAGAACAATGAGACCTTAGAAAGGAAGAAACCAAGATATCAAAGGTATCAAAAATGAAACACATGAGCACATACTAGAGTTTAAAAAAGCAGGGATACAATCTGAGCTGACAGAAAATGTACATACAGTTAAGCTCACACACACTATTTTATGAACATATAGGTTCACCTGCTGAATAAAAAAAAGGACAAATGAACCAAAGAAAGTTAAAACCATGAAGCAGATTCAGGCAGTAGTCTACAGAACAGTACAGTTTACAAAGTATAATCTGATCATTTTAAAACAACACAACATGCTCTTTTAGTAATCAATCAATCAATCAATCAATCAATCAATGTTTATTTATATAGCCCAATATCACAAATGTTACATTTGTCTCAGTGGACTTCACAGTTTGTACAGAATATCAGTATGACAATACAACACCCTCTGTCCTTAGACCCTCACATCGTACAAGGAAAAACTTCCAAAAAAGGAAAAACCCCACAGTTTAAAGAGGAACATGGGAGAAACCTCAGGGAGAGCATCAGAGGAGGGATCCCTCTCCCAGGACGGACAGACGTGCAATAGATGCCGTGTGTAAATTGAAAAGATAATACATGTACAACATAGGTAGTCCAAATGTTTGGAAATGCATGTGTCTATAATAAGAAGATGAATCCACGAGGATATCCATCATGATCCAGGACCACAGCAACAGGATCAGCCACGACTCAGGATCCCGGCGTATATAGACACCAAAAAGAAATTTGGGGAAGCTGGGTTATTCAGAACATGAGACAGGTACAGACAGAAGGAAGAAATAAAGTGTCCACCGACAGTCTAAGCCTATAGCAGCAAAACTAGGGGCTGAAATGTATATATACAGTCTATGGGCTGAATCTAATCAGCCCTAACTATAAGCTTTATCAAAAAGGAAGGTCTTAAGCGCACTCTTAAAAACGGATAAGGTGTCTGCCTCCCGAACACAAACTGGAAGCGGATTCCACAAATATGGAGCTTGATAAGAAAAGGCTCTGGCTCCCATTGTACTTTTAGAGACTCTAGGAACAACCAACAACCCTGCATTCTTGGAACGCAATGCCCTTGTAGGACAGTAGGGTATAATGAGTTCTTTAAGGTAAGATGGCGCCTGCCCATTAAGGGCTTTGTAGGCGAGAAGAAGAATTTTAAATTCTATCCTGTGTTCTATAGGGAGCCAGTGTAAGGCAGCCAGAACAGGAGTAATGTGGTCCCTTTTCCTAACTCTGGTTAGTACGCGTGCTGCAGCATTTTGAATCAGCTGAAGCGACTTAACTGACTTCTTGGTACACCCTGATAATAAAGAGTTACAATAATCCAGCCTTGAAGTAACAAATGCATGGACTAGTTTCTCTGCATCGTTTTGAGGCAAGATATGCCTGATTTTTGCAATGTTACGTAGATGGAAGTAGGCGGTCCTTGAAATTGATTTTATGTGGGCGTTAAAGGATAAATCCTGATCAAATATAACACCAAGATTCCTTACAGTCTCACTGGAGGCCAAATGAATGCCATCCATAGTTAATATATCTTTAGATAGTTTTTTTCGGTCAGTTTTGGCCGTGTTTAACATCAAAAAGTTTAAAGTCATCCACGTTTTTAAGTCCTTAAGGCAGTCTTGAATTTTATTTAGATGATTAACATTAAGTAACATTGTAATACTGCTAGCATTTTTTGGAAATCTCACTAATCTGATGACGTCTTTCTTTAATGTAACTCTAAGGGAATACTGTTACCATTTTTTTTATATCTAACTTTATCCTGTTACATCTGTAACTCCCGTGGCCTGGTTGTCAGTGATGGTGGTTGTGTTTTTAATAACAAATGGGAACAATACTCCTCTTTATGTGAGGAAGGACACTATAATCAATATTTACAACCGTTATCACTGAAGACTAACAGCCTCGCCCGGGTGTTGCCTGGAGACAGCACGTGTTTTGGGAAGCTCTTCTTGCTTTAACTTACTGACACAATTTCCACAAAACCGCTGTCAACAGCTCACTAGAGGAACTGAAACAAGTGTTTATTCTTAACTCTCTGTAATGTTGTCCAGTATCACCATTTTGGGGTTGAATGTCAATGACACATTGTTCTTGCTCAGCTAAACGTGCACTTCAGGTCTAAAGTCCAACCGTGCTCTGATCCTGAGGCACAATGTCAACATTCACCAGAATACTGCACACATAGTGGAGTTGAAACATGTTTCAGTAAATCATGCTTTTCACAATCCCTACTTTAGTAGCACTTAATATTGATCTATTACAGTACGCTAAGTAACTGAGATTTACAACTGAAGACCCATCTTTTTACATTGGCTTTTGTTTCTACTTGAGATGTATGTGATGTGTTCTGTGTTTGTTCCTTTCGGGACTCTGTGTGTTTTGTTTTTATGTTAACCTTCAATTCAGCCTCATGTTGTTACTGTATTTATGTTGTGGTCTTAATTTTAACTTTTGTTCTTTCTTGTGAAAGAGAATGTATTATTATTACAGCAAGCTAAGTAACTGAGATTTAACTACAATTACCTTCTTGTAGGACCTTAACTAAACAGCAGTATGAGAAAGTGGTAACTTGTCTGACTCATATTCAACAGAAGACACCACAGTGAGTCACACAGAGCGTTGCGACCTATCCCTGCCTCTGTTTATCCAAGTTATCAGTTTCTCAGTACGCCTCCCACACCCATCACTCCCAGTATTTAGTTTCTGCGCCCACTGCAAACACATTTCTGTCTTTGGGTCAGTTTCTGTCAGAACTTCCCTCTGAAAGCAGCTCAAACTTTGCTGAGTTATTTTTCCACTCCGACAACATGTGCACTGGAAAATGTTCCCGTTTCATTGCCGTGACTCTGTATCCATTGGCACTTATATCCATCATCTGTAACATCGTGCTGTTTTTTCCCGGCGGGGACGTGAAGTACGCCCAAGATGGACACATTACTGAGGAGGTGAAATACATGGGGGGACTCGTCGGAGGAGGAATAATGGTGAGTGTTTTTCCTCTACTCTGTTTTTGCAGGGCGTGACTCTGGGACGCACACTGCTTTAAATTAGTGTCTGGAATGTGCAGCCTCAAAAGTATTTTAGATATGTAAACTAAAACACACGAATAATGGATTTTAACAGTGCAGTGCGCATGTAATACGTTTAATGCAGTTTGAAGTTTTTACTTAACTTTTTAACTCTTGCTTTCTTTACCAAGCTTTTTTCATTTGCATTTTTTTTAGGAATGATTTGGTTACAAGGCATACATAACTAACTTAACCCTCTTAATGTTTTCTGTTCTCTACTTTACCCATTTTTCCCCTCTCTCATCAAAGATATAAACTTGGTTTCTTACTTCATGGTTCTTTTTTACATTCCATACATTTCATTTACCAGATTCTTCCATTGTGCGTTTATTAAGTTATTATCTTTTAACTAGTTCCTTGTAATTTATGCAATGATTGCTACTCTTTTTCCAAGGAATAGAGCAGGAATCCTTTTTTGGATGTCCTCTGGGGTTTTCCCAAGTATTAGTATCAGTGTTCTTAGTTGGCATTGCTCTTACAGCTATTTCCCAGAAATGCTAGTGACTTATCCGACCGGCCCACTTCGGTACCGCTAGTAAATTGTCCCAAACGTCCCGATGGCCAGTCCGCCACTGCCCAGAACCCACTGAAAACTGTGCAAGACCTAAATATATGACTTTGGCTTGCTCCTTGTTCTACAAGTTATCAAAATTGAGTGAAAATGATAAATTGTTTTGTCTAAATTGAGCTGAATGTGTATTATTGTCCTGCTCCAGGTGCTGCTCCCTGCGCTGTACATCCACCTAACGGGGACGCAGGGCTGCTGTGGGAACCGCTGCGGGGTGAGTCTGAAAACACTGTTTCAGGAGTTCAGTGAAAGACGAGCGCTGGCTGCTTAACAACATATGTTACAAACTCAATTATCTATATGTGCATACCATAGATACAGTGGTTCTCAACTGGTGGGTCGCGACCCAAAAGTGGGTCGCGGACCCATTTCGAGTGGGTCACAGATGTGTGAGTGAAAAAAAAAAAAAATAGAAAAAAAACATTTCCTTTTTTTTGGGGGGGAAAAAAAGTCAAACTTTTATTTTGAAGGTCCGATTTTTTAACGCTGTGCATGCAGTAGGCGTTGGACTGGAAGTACCGGAGACCATAAACGGTTTTGAAAACTTTGTCACGTAGCCTATTGATCATCTTCTCAATAAAACATCTCCTCTTTGCTCTTCTCTCTGTGTGGAGCAGCAAGCTGTCAGAACAAAGTGAAAAACAAACAATGGCATAAAATATTATTAATATATCAGGTAGTAATAAATGTAATTATTTTCTTCTCAGAGTGTACCAGAATGCGTAGTTTATATGTTAGTATTTCTAAAAATCTCCTGGGGGAGATTCTCCCCAGACCCCCCTTCTGAGGTTGGGTTTTCAGCATGTGTAGCCTTTTTATGTTAGTTCAGCTTTGATTCCATCATCTCATTAAACCTTTTTTAAAAGCATTCTCTTGTTCTGTGAAGGGATATATGCACTGTACTTCACTTTCATTAATATTGTATGCTGAAAAGCGTATATATTACCTCACAAGTTTTTGTTGAATAGATTTGAGTGGTTCAAAATTTCGGGTCGTGATCTATTGACTAAGGAAAAAGTGGGTCCCGAGGCCTGACCAGTTGAGAAACCACTGCCATAGAATATATGGTGCACAGAAATTCTCTAGATATGCTGGCATACAATTACAGATAAAGGGAATTTAAACTTTGTTTATTAGGAACCAGTGAAATAAATATGATATAAATCAGGGGAAATAGCTGATGAAAAAAAACGTGTTTGTGCACATATGGCACAAAAACATAATTAATAACACATTACTTTTCAAAGATTGTTGAATTAGTAAATAACAGAAGCTTAATATGCAGCATGGTGCTTGAAGAGGCCACGGCTAAGCTGCTTTGTGTATGTGTGTGATGCACGCTTTAGATAGTCAGGTGAATATAAGTCCAATACAAATTGTTTTCCAATTGAACACATTGCCATCGCCATACAAAAATGACAATTAAAACAGGGTGGGTATAGTTAGGAAAGCATGATATGTAATACATGATTAAGCCTTCAGAACAAGAATATTAAAGTTCAACACCTGCAAGTTTTTAGAGCTTTTAAGAGGTTCTGATAACATATTCCGTATAATTGCAGAAGTGTATATAATAATAGCAGTACAGGGAATAGTGTGGGAACCTGCTTCAGATAAAACAAATGTCACCAACCAACCTCTCTGATGAGAAACATGTCTCGGCAGGTTTTGGTGCAGCCTCACCCTGTAAGTGTTGTGAAAAGCAGCTGTGAGAGTTGAAATGTGAGGAATTGGAGAGAAACAAAAGTTGTGCCTGTCCTTTTTAAACACATAAATTACTAATTTATCAATTGCATGACAAAAATGTGAGGAAGGAGTGATAGAGTAAACATGGGGAATAATTCAGTATGAATGAGCGATGTGTTGCACAGAGACGTTTCTGACCTTTGCTCTTCCTCCTGCAGATGTTCCTCTCCATTGCCTTCGCTGCGGTGGGTGTGGCCGGCGCTCTGTACAGCTTCATCGTGGCGGTGCTCGGTCTGCAGAACGGACCTCTCTGCAAAGTCATTCTGATCTGGGGGACACCTTTCAAAGACGGGTGAGACACTTTTTTCAAGATTCAAGGATTTTATTGTCATGTGTACATAGCTACAGTGTAGATATAGCAATGAACATCTTAGGTCACAGGCTCCTCCAACAGTGCAACACAATACAACTGATAACATAGTTAAAATAGTTAAAATAGTGCAAGTAAATACAAATAAAATAGAATAGAAATAGACACTGAAGTTCTGATGACATTTGTTAAGTTTCTAAAGTCCTGATCACCAGGCTTTGGGAGATTACGTGTAACGGGATGATGTAATCAGGATACAGGATTAAAATGTTACTAAAAAACTAAAAAGAGTATATCGTGTTTGTTTTAAAAGGAGCAGATTGAATTGCTTCTTTGTAAGCTGTACTCTTCTGTAAGCTAATACTTTAAGTGTGAATCTATACGCCTGAATTTGATTTATGACTGAACCATATGCTCATAAAATAGTGTGTGTGAGCTTAACTGTATTTATTAAAAATAATGGAGCATTTTCTCTCAGCTCAGATATTATTTCTCCTTTTTTAACTGTAGTATGTGCTCATGTGTTTCTTTTTTGGTGTATAGGCTACTGCCTGAATATGCTTCATGAAAGGCAGCTTTCCCTATAAATACAATCTCTGACAGAAAACACATTTTGATACTCAATATCTTGGTTCTTCGGTTACTAGTAATTGCAACAGAATACATTTTAAAGTAACCCTCCCACCCCTGCTGATGAGTGACTTCCTGTTTTCCACAGCGACCATAGTTACCTGACTGACAGCACGTGGTGGGGCACGTGCACCGAGCCTAAGGACATCGTGCAGTTCAACATCGGGCTGTTCGCCACCCTGCTGGCCACCAGCGGCCTGCAGCTGATCCTCTGTGCCATCCAGATGATCAACGGGCTGTTCGGCTGCCTCTGTGGCACCTGTGGAGACAAAGGGGTAAAAACAGTAGCATAACGAAAACAATAGCAGGGTTTTATGTGTTGTGAGGACATCCTAATTCAGACACTTTTCAGATAAGAAATGTTCAGTGGTGTAAAGTAACTAAGTGGATTTACTCAAGTACTGTTCTTAAAGGTCACCTATAATGCAAAATCCACTTGTTCATGTCTCTTCTACATCAACATGTGTCCCCTCTGTGTAAAGAGACTCTGAAAGTTTCAGGAAAAAAGATTCTCTCACTTTTTGTCCTGATCCATTTATATAAAAACCTGTCTGAAAATGAGCTGATCAGATTTTGGCCACTTTATGATGTCATAACGATTTTTCGGCTTGTGTAACCATTAGCCAATCACCAACCAAGGTAACCCCCCCCCCACCACCTTATCACCTGAATCTCCTCCTAGAGCACCATTGTGTTCTTTTTTAACCAAATCTCTCTCAGAGGGGCGTGGGGAGAGGCTCCTTATTTTCATCTAAAGTAACAGACAGTAACAGCTGCCATGATCTGTTTGGTGTTTGGAGCCAAACACTTCAGACACATGTTTTGTATATATCTGTGACCTATAATATATTGATGAAAAGCAGTATAATAGGGGACCTTTAAGTACAATTTTGAGATACTTGTGCTTTATGTTGGGGAATAATTTCCTTAGGTATTTAACTTTTGACACAGTTCATCGTTTTCTCCTTTCACCGTCTCTTTTCCCATGGCATTGGACTAGACTCTAGGCTAGGGCCTTGGGTATTGCTGCTCTCTCTCTCTCTTAAGGAGGGGCAGCTTGGGCACATTGTTGATGCCACACTTTATGACCGCGCACAAGCTGCCATTAGATAGTTTAATGTTCAGGGACATCTAGAGGCCCTTCTTTTCTGGGACGTAGGTTCCCTGGCACATATTATTTTCTATGGACGACAGCTCTAGTTAGATTCAGGGTCCATATTTGTTTAGTCTCGCTGATGAGGAATGTTGATTAGTACACTCTGAACTAGTTAAAACCTCGAACTGCAGACGAGATCTTCAGAATTGGTTTGGCAGCAGCTGTGTCACCTCGTGGCGGCAGCACATGTCTCGTCAAATTCTCCGGCCGTAACTCTATAATAAACCTTCAGTGTGTGCCATCAAAGCTCCAGTTCTCCCCGTGTCTCTCTGAGTTTCGTCTCCATTGCTTCAGAAGTTTCCACTTCGAGTATTTCCATTTTATGCTTCTTTGTACTTCTACTCCACTACAATTCAGAGGTAATGGTGTACTTCTACTCCACTACATGTATTTAATACCTTTAGTTACTTTACAGATCTGGATGAATGGTGTGAAATATAATCAAGTGTTAAATCAGACTTTAGTTCCACCTGGAGTAAATTCACAAGCTACCCTGCAGTATACAAAGCCATTCAAACTAGCTGCACCTTTACCAGCTTTGACAACACTTTAATGATCAATCATTATAAATCATATCATATATATTATTCTGAAATGGACCAATCTGCACAATGAATACTTTTACTTTTGTTACTTTATGTATATTTTTATGCTAATACTTTTCTACTTTTACTTCAGTAACATTTTGAATGCAGGACTTTCACTTGTAACAGAGTATTCCTACACTCTGGTACTTCTACTTTTACTCAAGTGCAAGACCTGAGTACTTCTCCTACCTGTGGTAATTGTAGAGAATCTTGACTTCCTGTTCTAATGATGTGTTTTTTTATTTACTTACAGCCGCTGTGAGTCTGACAGATGACCGGCGCCCTCTGCTGGAGGATGGAGAGAAGTGTTCCTGCTACAAAATATTCACTATGACATTTTTATACTTTTTGTGTTTTTCATGAGGCTAAATGCTGCATTTTAATAAAATAGACATCTTTTATGTCTGCAAGTGTTGTTGTGAAAATGGCACAGTATTATAAACAATTTATGCTTTTGATTTAATTTGAAATAAATTGTTTTAAAATAAAAGACGCTCATCCAGTTCTCTGTGATGTCACATTATATTTCGTAGGAAATCGATAATACTTTCGCTTTATTTAAGTGTTTTGTTACAATAATTAACAGCTAATGAAATAACACACACCATTTAATTATTCTACAATGACACCTTTAATGTAAGTCATTTTCTGCAATGAATACCAGGATGCACAAACATGTCAGTGTCATCTCAAATACAGTAGTTAGCATTTTAAAATGTGTATTAACATTGAAGGGAATAGGACTGAGATTTCTGAAATGCCAACTAAGCACAGGAAAAACCCTGCACGCCAAATGCATTGTGCAAAAGGTCCATTTGATTAAAAGAAGGGATATTTCTTCACTGACTTTTACAGAATGGACACAGATAGAGGTTACACAACAGAAAAGGCAAAGCGTAGTGATCAAAAAAGGCAAAAACTGGGTTTAAAGAGATTGAAAATACAAAAACAGTCAGTATGACAAAACTCCTGCTGGCAGTGTTTGTTTTAGTTGAGGCTGGGGAACCCTGTTAGACTTTAGTTCATGGTTAAAGCAAATTATTTTAACATATTTATTACCAGAATAGCCATTTTCTTTACTCTATGAATTAAAAATGTAAAAAAAAAAACATGTCATCAAAACCCATTTTAGGCAACTTCAATTGATTAGTATATTCTACCTCACATTTCTAACTTCATGCATTAAGTTTCTGTGCATTAAAAGATAACCTCTCAACCTAACGGAGTGTTTCTCTGTGTACCTGCATACACAGAAAGTAAAGAATCATTTGAAATGTCTGTCAGAGAAACACGTTTCTGTGCGTATATGACTTCTTTTGAGGTAGACATAAGAAATAATAATACACTGGAGTGTTAACATCCTCAATGAGGCTAGTTACCGTTGCTTCTATGCTGCACATACATTTTCTAATTTTAGTATGCAAGCTGTATGCTGGCAGTAGCAATTTTGGAGTTTAAAATCAACTATATATATATATATATATATAAAACACTAAAAAATTAATGAATACGATGATCTAAACACTATGTTAGAAGGGTAAGTTAAAAAAGAGATGAAGCGTGACAGTTTTGAGGGAAAACCAGATCCCTAAAGTATTGAGCTTGAATGCTTCAACTGGAGTTTTGGCGAGGTTTTATGGCTGTAATACTTCACTTCCTTCATTCGAGTTGTGCGTGTTTTAGCTGTCAAACTGCTTCATCATGAGCTTCCGGCTGACCTCGTATCCCAGGAACAACGCTCCGTTAGCAGGGAAGGTGCGCACCATGGTGGGGGTGAGACCGGAGTACAGTGCCCTCACACCTGAACAAAACAAACAGCAAAGATTATTTTCTAAGTCATGGGTGTCCAAACTTTTTTCACCGAGGGCCACATACAGAAAAATATTCGAAGGGCCGGGCCGCTCACTAGAGGTGAGGTATACTGTCTCCTAAGTTAAGTTATAAGTTAGCAAAATCAATCAAAAGTAGGTAAATGATACTTGAATCTGCTTTAAGTCAAATAAACACCCTACATCCCAGCTCTCCACAGGGTTTAATTTAATTTGTTAGCAGCTCACTCCTTACAACAGGAGCCCCAGACTGATTATCATAAGAGGAAATAGGAAGGGTCTATTTCAAGGTTGTTATGTAAATAAGTGAATGGGCTTTTTTCTTATCGACTTAGATTTGTTAGAACATATTTTCAAATGTAATTGACTGAATGTATTGTAAATTGGGCTTATTAACACATGAACACTACTGTGTAATATACAGGGTTCTTACACCTTTTCCAAAGTCAAATTCAAGCACTTTTCAAGGTGCATTTTCAAGCATCTTACAGCTGTTGTAAATTACATATTTATATACACATACTTATACTCAAATGATTATTTCCCTACCTCACATTAAATCAGATGTTCTTTATGCTATAAACAACCAAGGACTTGGACAACCAAGGACTGTTGACCTCTGGGTGAGTGCTGCTTCCTACCTTCACTGGACTAACAATGGCTAATCCCAAACTGTACTGCTTTTTCCTTGCATTATTCGCCGCCTCCCTACCCCCTCCTGCTATCTCTTGGCCGTGCTCTGATTGTATTACTACTGATGATATCGGGCAATGTGCATGTTCATCCTGGACCTTCTATTGTATGTAGCCCTAGTTCTGACCTGTGCCCTGATGTCAATCTTTGTCACAATGATCTGAGTTTCCCTGACTTCTGCTCTCGTAAAGCTTTAGGTTTTCTACATGTAAATGCTAGAAGCTTACTGCCAAAAATTTACCAGATAAAAGTACTTGTTCACAGCTCAAATCCGGAGGTACTTGTCATCAGGCCGGAGCGGAGCTGTTTTATGTGAAAGCGAAGCAATTAAGCGTGCTCCGACTTCTTTATTTTCTTTTAATCTAAAAAGCGAAGTAAAGCATTTACAATTTCAAGCACTTTATCCCAAATTCAAGCACCATTTCCAAAATCCAAGCACTTTTCAAACCTTGAAAACACCTCATAACATTTCAAGCATTTTCAAGGATTTCTAGCACCCGCACGAACCCTGAATATATGTTTACAGATATATTTAATAAGTACAATACAAGAAAAGCTCAAGTTTAATTTGTGGGCCGTATTCAAATTATACTTTTTTAATTTGCTGAGGGCCGATTCAAAATGTCCTGCGGGCTGCATTTGGCCCCCGGGCCTTAGTTTGGATACCCCTGTTCTAAATTAATGAATCCAGTCAACATCTCTGCAAAAACTGCTGAAACAATCACAAACTGATGATCAAAACTGCGATGCTTCCCACCTTCAGTACGAGCGATGGTCATGAAGGTCTTGAAAAACCCCGCCTGTTTGCCCATCATCGACATGACCTGGATCCGAGATTTGACGCAGTCCATGGGATAAACAACGAGCCACAGACAGGCCCCCCCCAGACCCCCGCTGAACATGATGGGCATCACACCTTCAACACACACAGGCACACAATACATTAGATTTGAGGGAGTGGAAAGCAAATATGTATACGATAGAGAAAAGGAAAAAGGATTCATATGGGAAGTACATCGTATTTAAAGTCCAACAAATGTAACATTGATAAAGTGTGAGGGCCCTTGAAAAGCCTGAGATGGAAAATGTGCTTACATTACATTTTGATGTCAGTGATTGACCAAAAAGGATCATAACTAGGGCTGTAAACATTAACTTGTTAACACATGCGATTAATCTTCCGCCTGTTATGTCAGCACCGATGTTTAACATGAGTTATATGGCATTCAAATGGCAAAGAAAGTGGAGAAATTGGCACAAGCAACATGTCATTTCCAGGTGGTCTCCAGTCAGTGCATCAGGAAGAACCATCACTACCTCGGTGTAAAGACACAGCGGCACTCATTACTTAGGTGTGTTGAAAACAGAGAAAAGGTGTTGTGAGAATATGCCTTGTGTTGCGCACAATATACAAAGGGGAATCACAGCGACTCTCCGTGTTTGTCGTGCATGTCTTCATTACAACCTGTGTATATGTTTTATCTCCCCCCAAATACAAGTATCACTATTGTCATCAAGGCGATAAATGGTTATATTGATTTACAGCACTTATGATAACTGAATTATAATTGGATGATTCTATTTTTTCAAAGATTCATAGGTTTTATTGTCATATGCACAAAGCTACAGTGTAGAAATGGCAATGAAATTCTTCTGACTTGAGCTCCTCCAACAATGCAACATATATAATAAAATACAAAATAAAAAAGTAGTGCAAAAAGTCTATATACATGTCAATAGAATATGGGATATGTACAAGAACAAAATATGAAATTAAATAATGTAAATTAAGACTAAATCAAATAATAATCAAGGTAAGTATTTTGTGCCAGTACCTATGTCGTCTTTTTCACACTTCATGTAGTCGGCAAAGGTCGTGCGGCAGAGCTCGTAGGCCCCGAAGAAGCAGAAGTACCCGGGCACCTCTCTGGCGATGGTGGGGGTCAGACCCTGGAAGAAGCCCCGCGGCCCCTCAGCCTTCATGATGGATCTCACCACCGACCACACTGTGCTGCAGACAGAGCAGAGGAGCGTCAATGCACAAACACACACTACAAAAATACAAGCATTAGATTAAAACATTTTCATGCATGACTTTATAAACAAAATATTGGGATGAACAGTTTTTGAGCGGTTCTGTTTTTACCTTCTCTAAATTACATTTTCAATATTCAGTTTTCATAACTTGGTCAATGATCCAAAAACAATAATGAATTCATAATTAAATGTGGTAAAAGGTCTAGATTTCTTAAGTTCCATATCGCTAAGTCTGAAACCAATTATCTTTATTATAAGAAACGCGATATATCAAAACGTTTTGTAAACAAATATTCTTTTATGATTATTAACCTTTAAAAAGGGACACACTATGCTCATTTTCAGGTTCATATCTTTATTTAGTGTCTCTACTGTGACATGTCTCCATGTTTTAATGTTCAAAAAGCTCTTTAATTTTCTCATATGTGCTGCAGCACCTCTTTTCACCCTCTGTCTGAAAACAGAGCCCAGTCTGCTCTGATTGGTTAGCTAGCCGGCTCTGTTGTGATTGGTCAACAGCTTAGAGATGTCTCGCCCCTTAGTCTATCACGTATAGAGAGGCGAAGTCCCTCCCTCTCCGGGGGACCTCCATGGGACCTTATTTCGGAAAAAGTATGTATTGAAGTCAATGGGGAGAGAAAGATTATCTTTCGATCCCGTTTGAATTGTGCCACGAATTACACATATGATGTTTGTCAATTTAAAAGATAATTTTGCAAGTCAAAAAAATAAAATTTGTCGTAAAACTGTGAAACCGCTCAATGAACTACATCTCCCGTCTCGCACCACACACCAAGACGGCCGTCACGTTGGCACATTTCACTTCTTTCTTTCAGAATGAGGCGGAAAGTATTAAAAGAGGTGAAAATCACTCCAAGTCTGGGCATGTTGAGAGCTGTACATACACACAAGGGGAGTTAGTCGGTTCGTAAGAGCCAGCATGCCGGACCGGGATTCTGGGATTTGTAGTCTTTCTAGTTGCGTATTTTTCATAGTCTTATATTTCAACAGTTTTACGACAAACTGTGACTTTTTTTGATGGAAATTATTTGTTAAGATTGACAAACATCATATGTGTAATTCGTGGCACAATTCAAACGGGGTCGAAAGATAATCTTTCTCTCCCCATTGACTTCAATACATACTTTTTCCGAAATAAGGTCCCATGGAGGTCCCCAGAAGGGGAGGGACTTCGCCTCTCTATATTGTGTGGAAGTGCTAGCCAACAGAAGTGTGAGTGTTACATATTGATGTCATTATGTGACTGAAGTAAACAAAGGAGTCTAATGGAGGAGTTTCAGGCAGGGTAGAGTGTGTGGGAGAGAAACTGCCTCTTGAAGGGACTTTAGCCTTTGCAGACCATTGACATGCACAAAGACCATACTACAGGAAAGGTAAACCCCCAAAAAGCATAATAAGGCCTCTTTAAAATCACTTACTTATGGCTCTTTGCAATCTTGCCTGATAACTCCATTTCATACATGGCTTGCAGCCGACACTTGACCAGCTCAGTGGGGCAGAGGACTAGCGAAGAGAAAATGGACGCTATTGAGCCAGCACAAGCTTTCTGCACATCACTAGAAGAGAGCAAGGGATAAACAGAAGACAGTTAGAGATCTCAAATGTACCTTCAGGGAAATATTAGATTCAATGTAATAGCAAAAAGGACAGCATAGTTAACCTGAGCACAGTCTCGTTGGGCAGACCAGCTGAGAGGCGGATGACCTGCTGGCAGAATCCGTAGCTCATGAAGAGCACGGAGTTCTCTGCGATGTTGGCCATCAGAGCCGGGGAGGTGCCTTGGTAGAGACCCCGCAGACCCACCTGTTTGTAGGTGGACGTGACGCAGTGGATGAAACCCCGGTACAGATTAGGAAAGGTCTGCATCTTGACCTTTGCTGTGTCGAGAGGCTGCCCACTGAACACACATGCAGCCCCCCCTGAGAGGAAGACAGTGGGAAAAGAGAAAGAACATGAAGAAACTGAATATGAATGTCACACTAGCACAGTGACTAAGTGTCTCTGTTTTAACCAATCACATGTATGTAAGAAAAAACAAAGCTAGTATACACTTCTGTATTTTAGTGATGTGGTTCTGTTTTAGGCCAGTTGTACTCAGTTTGTTTTTTAACTATTACTTATTCCCCCCCCCTTTTTCATTTCTTATTCTTTCCTTTATAATTTGTTCCTCTTTTTCTTTTTATCCTGTTTTCTTATTTGTTTTTCTTTATTCTTTTCACTTGGTCTTGTATTTTTAACATCTTTTTTTTTCTTACCTTTTTTCTTATTATTTTTGTTTGTTTTTCTATTTTCCTGTCTTCAAGAGAGACAGGGCTTGACAACATGTGTTGCATTCAACTGAATGGGTTAAAGAGTCTAATGTGGAGAAATGAGGCGGAAAAACACCGGAGTCATCAGAAGCTCCTGCTGCGTCAGACAAGGCTTGTTTGGATAAGCAGTGGAAAGGCAGCCTGGTTTACTTTAAAGAGATTAAATATTGTTTGCTTGCTCTGTTTTAGAGAAGAGTTTTGTAGTTACTGTACCTATGGCTCCTGCAGAGAGGTCAATGGCGGCCTGGACCGCCGGGTGAGGGGCCATGGCGTCCGAGTAGTTTTCAGAAGAGGTTTCTCTTTCTCTCAGCTACCTGGTTAAAAAAAAAATGTTCTTGAGGCTCCAATCACTGCTACACAGGGGCGGCGCCAGGGGGTAGCTTGGAGTTGCTATAGCAACTCCAACAATTGGCTGAGCAACGGCTTAGCAACCCCATTGTTTTGTTATGAAAATGCATCTAAATATATTTATACACATTCTCGCGAGATCTATCAGGGGTCGTTGTAAGTTAAAGCGCGAACTGTTACTTGGCTAATGTTGTTATAATTCTCAGTGTGTGAACACAGATCGAAAATGGAAAGATTTCTTACAAGTCAGCGTAAACGACCGCGATCTCCAACGGAGCCGGTCCAGCCGGACAACCCTGTGTGTGTGTCAGTCTGTTTGCGGTGTGGTGATGAGGTTAAATGCCACAGCATGCCAGTTGAAACAGTGAACGATCGCTATTATGTACGCTTAGGGTGTAATGGTATTATACACAAATATTGTAGGAGCACAGAAACAGTGTTCAAATTCTGTTTTTACAAACTTATTTTGGTTGTGCTTACCTTGAAAAGTAATGTTATAAGTGTCAAAGGAATGTTTTAATGTAAATATTAATGATAATATTGTAGCGTGTCCAAGTTAATAGTTATTTCAGTTATCAGATGTGCACAGTTTAGTACATTTGTAAAGTTATTTAGGCAATGTTGTTGGTGGGAGTTAGGGAGAGACCGCCCCTTCCAGGTGTGTGTGTGCGTTTTCCGGTGTGTATGTAGGGAGTAGGAGACGGTAGGAGTTGTGTTCGAGTGTGGGGAAAAGTCATGAGTGTTATACTATTGATTGGTTCTGTAAGGCGTGGCTATGTGGCCGTCAATACCAGAAAATAAAGAGAACGTTTTCGACATTGAAGGCTTGTGATCTGTGATCTTGAATAGCGGTGAACGCTACAATATGAACAGGCTCGTGCTTGGCCCACTGGTATTGTTTGTTTATTTATTTTGAAAATTAACTAGCAACACTGTGCTGTCATATAGCAACTGCTAAGCTACTGCAGCAAAAGAATCCTGGCGCCACCCATGCTGCTACATCTTATTAAAGCACTCAAATTACTCTAAAAAAGGAACATAACCAGTCATTTGTTTTCTTAAAACACTTCTATTACACAGAGAATATGGGCATGTTTCCACACAGTTATCAGGGCAGACAACACAGCAACAGCAGCAAGGTTATAAAGTTCACTACAATAAAACCTGCCCTCCTACGTGACAATCAGAGGTGGAGAAGTACTCAGATCTTGTACTTGAGTAAAAGTAGAAGTACCAGAGTGTAGGAATACTCTGTTACAGGTAAAAGTCCTGCATTCAAAATGTTACTCAGGTAAAAACAGAAAAGTATTAGCATCAAAATATAATTAAAGTACAAAAGTAAAAGTAGTCATTGTGCAGATTGGTCCATTTCAGAATAATGTATACGATATGTTTTATAATGATTGATCATTAAAGTGTTCTCAAAGCTGGTAAAGGTGCAGCTAGTTTTAATGACTTTGTATACTGCAGGGTAGCTGGTGAATTTACTCCAGGTGGAACTAAAGTCTGATTTAACACTTGATTATATTTCACATCATTCATCCAGATCTGTGAAGTAACTAAAGGCATTAAATACATGTAGTGGAGTAGAAGTACAAAGTAGCATAACATGGAAATACTCAGGTAAAGTACAAGTAGGCTACCTCAAGATTGTACTTAAGTACAGTAGTTCAGTAAATGTACTTAGTTACTTCCCACCTCTACTAAACAAAAATGGCATGATTTCTTCTTTAAGGGACATGTAGTGCTCTTGCTGATGTAACATGTTGGCCCCACTTAACATAACAATGCCTAACACAAGGTTACCACCAGTGGGAGACAAAAGGCTATTTATTGTAACGATAAAGAAATTAAATATAATGTCAGATAGCAACACAACTATAAGACACACATTTATACTTTAGAGACAAAGAGTAAACACCGTTTTTATTACAGATGTACCACGTGCTGATAACATGTGTAGCAACAACACCCAATATTTACCGGGTGAAAGTAAGTCGGTGCTGTTCAACAGATGGTTACTCTCCAAAGGTGGAAATAATGTGAGAATACAAACCTTACAGAAGGGCGACAAAGTCAAACTGGAGCATGAACGTGTTTCTGGTCCGGTTACCGTGAGAGTCTGCCTTCATCACACGGTGTCAACCCGGGAGGGGCTGCTGACCCGAGCTAACATCCTCACCGGCAGACCACATGCTAACCCGAGCCAACGCATCCAAACACCCGCAGTTTGTCTCGCTGTTATCTCGTGTGTAACATCTGCACCGGGGTGGTCATCATGGATGTATAATAAGAACTGGATACAGCGTGGGAGGCGGGGCCTCATTCATTCCTATGAGAGTTGCTCATTCGCGCATGATGATAAAATGGCCCAACTTTTGAGAGAGCGAAACGTCACAGATTACCCGGCATGCCTGAGAAGTACCCGTATGTGCGCTCATAGCGCATGCGCAACTTTAACCTTGGTTGCATTCGAATAGTCAATAGCCTCGTCTCAATACCCCTCCTCGACTCCTCCTTTCCCTCACTCGCGTCCCTTCCTTGCGTCTTAGCTCCGCCTCCGTAAGATGCGAGCAAGAGACACGAGGAGGTGACGCGAGGACAGAGGAGTCCTCAGGTATTAATTGGGATGTCCTCGTTCACTCAAACGTCACTCTTAAACGACGTCTGTTAATGATGACATGTGCACAGCTGTATCCCCTCTCATTGGGTTTAACTGAATAACCCTTTAGAACCGGCCCATTTATTGTTAAATATGTATTTAAATTATGAATCTTTCTCTTTTTACTCAAGGAATTCAATGTATGATGGTTGGTCCTGCTTTTGTGTTCCGTTTTGGTGTAAAATGTACATTTCAATAAAATTATAATTATAATAATGTGAAAGCCTTTACTCGGAAAATGTGTGTCCTGTAGATCCCCACATTCACCACAAACCCACATTCAGGACTGAATTTTAAATAATTTAACTCCTGAATATCTTAACACAAAACAAAACAAATAATTTTTATTTATCAAGATCTAGCCATTTATGAAATAGCTTTCTTAATAGCTATGTTTTAGTGACGTTCAAGATCATTAAACATGACTTAAATTGTTAGTATAACCTTAAGAAATGAATTGCACATAATAATTCCCACGGAGCTGTGAGCACTTATACATTTATGTGACGCTTTTCCACTCATTCTTCCAGTTCTCCGTTTTCCTCTCTTGAAATCGACCAGCTGTGAAGGTGGGGGCGGGGCTTTTATACGCGAGTAGTGAAAACACTTCCGCGTAGTCTGCTCTCGTGTATCCTCCCTTTCGTCTCCTCCCGCACCCCTCCTCCCTCACCTCTCCTCGACTCCTCCGTGTGCATTTCAGCTATTGGGACGTCCTTCAAATTTCTGCAACATAATTAGGATGCTCTACTCGGACATTTATAGTTCTGTATCTTTGAACCCTGGAATGAGCCCTAGGTTTAAGGTTTTACGTGGTATTCGACAGGGTTGCCCTATTTCCCCCAAATTATTTATTCTGACCACCCAAGTATTAACAACGCTTATTATAAAGAATCACAAAATATTAGGCATTACCCTCTTTGACAAAGAGTTCAAAATTAGTCAATTTGCGGATGACACATCCATTTTCCTAAAGAATAAATCTATGGTAAAGGAAACTCTTAACACAATTTCAATTTTTTCAAAAGCATCAGGGTTATCTCTTAATCTTTCAAAATGTGAATTACTCCCTATCCATTCATGTGATGATTCCACTATTGACTCTATTAGAGTGGTACCTGAGGTGAAATATTTGGGAATAACATTATCTAAAAATTATATCAGGAGAGAAGATCTTAATATTTGTAACCGTATCACAGATATGAAGAAATCTCTCAGTCGTTGGTTAACCAGAGATCTTACTATTTTTGGCAGAGTTCTTCTTACTAAAGCAGAAAGTATATCTAAACTTATTTATCCATGCCACTCATGTTTTGTCTCTTCGGCTAATATAAAAAAAGCCAACTCAATTATTTTCCAATTCTTGTGGAGAAATAAAACTCACTACATTAAAAAGTCACAGCTTGTTAAAGAATATGATAAAGGCGGAATTAAAGCTTTAGACTTTGAATCGATGATTGGAACAATTAAAATAAAATGGTTGAAAGCCTTTTTGTCCCAGCCAGAATCCATGTGGTTCCATATTCCAAAGGCCATATTTAAACGTCTAGGAGGGTTTGATTTTCTTTTAAAATGTGATTTTGAGGTTAATAAGATTCCGACCAAATTGTCAAATTTTCATAAGCAGATACTTCATTATTGGAAGATGATATTTACCCACAATTTTTCTCCTCATGGATCTACGTTATGGAACAATAGAGTGATTATCATAAACAGAAAATCCTTGTTTAGGAGTGATTGGCATGAGAGGGGTATTTTGTTTGTTAGAGATTTACTAGATTGCAATGGTAAACTGCTAGATTTTTTGGCCTTTTCAACGAAATACAATATAACGTGTACTGCTAAAGATTATAACAAAATCTGTAAAGCAATTCCTGTACCACTTATTGGAATGATTCATAATACTTTACTGTACTCAAATGTTGTATCAGTTTTACCTAATTTGGAAATTATTGGCGATACTCTTAAGAATAACAAATCTATTAATGCTTCCCTGAAATCCCACATTTTTCACAATTTTAACAGAGGCTTATTTCCTCAAGTGACCGATTTAGACACTTTATCTGTAATGGAAAAAGCTCTATCTGATTTTATAAAATGGCCTATTTCCCCTAAAGCAAAAGAAACTAATTTTAAAATTGTTCATAAAATCTACCCGGTTTCTACTTTTTTAAATTCAAGATTTAAATTTGAAGTGGAACCATGTTCCTTTTGTAATTTATCTGATGAATCGTTGGAACATTTATTTTTCTCTTGCCCTTTTTCTGAATTGTTTTGGTCGAATGTGAGAGATTGGTTGTTACTTAAATTAACAAATATTCCGGCCTTCAAAATATATCACATTTTATATTATATTGATAATTTGGACTCTCCCATTTCTGATTTGGTAAATATAATTATTATTTTGGGTAAATACCATTTACATTGTAGTAAATGGAGAGGAGGCAAGCCCTCCTTTCCCTGTTTCATAAATGAGTTCAAGTCCTTTTTTCTGTCCCTTAGAAAAATACAATCTTGTAACCTGTCTATAAAGATTTGCAATGACATTTCCAAATGGTTATTATTTTAAGTAAGCTTAATGCCTCTTAAATGTTTTTGTGCCTTTATGCTTTTTTCTTTCCCCCTGGCTCTTACTGGATGTATTAGTTATGTTTTTTTGTCTTATTGTGAATGAATGTCTTGAACTTATGTTGATAAGTTGATGATATCCTCACCGAGCTTTTGTATGTTTAAAAAAATGTTCAATAAAAAAAAAAAGAAAAAAAAAAAAAAAAAAGGACGTCCTTCAAAATGGCGTGTCTTGATCGATTTCCGGGTCAAGTCCCGGAGGAGGGGAAGAGAGGAGTCGAGGAGGGGTATTGGGATGAGGCTCATTTAGCTTAGGAACCTTCCTAACGGAGTGAAATGACCCGGAAGTCCCTCAGTGGCAGCCATGATAAGTGCCGTTCGAATTCTCTAAATTAAAAGGAAAGGAGGTTTCAAACTTCCTTTATAACCTCCTTTAGCCTAGGAACCACTGGACCTCCCTAACCGAAAGGAGAGGAGAAAATGCTGCCCCACAATGCCTTGCGGCCGCAGCATTTGCCGTCACACAACAGTCGGCCGTTCACGGAAACAACCGATTATGAACGAGAAATGATATCATGAAAGTTACGGTGCTTATTAAGCATTTTAAAACGTATGTGGTAAGTTGCCAAAGTGCTTTGTTTTGAACGTTCATCAGTATTATAATCAAAAAGAGAAATATGAACGTTAGTTTTTACTGAAATGATCAAATAAAGTCAACATTTCACAGTCTTTACTGAGCTGTGTGGGGTTTGTTCAACTTTTAAAAGATGTTTGAATGGTGATATACACAGTGATAGATGTTAAGGACTAACGTTTATAATAAATACATTTGTATTGATTTTAAGATCTTTTCATACAATCATATGTATTGGGATCATTTGTATTAATGTGGACCGGAGGGAGAGGGTGACGAGCATAAGTTTCACTTTCCTTTTTTATTTCAATTTCAACTTTGGTCATGAAGAATATGTTTCTCTGTTGTCCCCGTTCATAAAGCATAAAACAACAGCATCAGAGCACGGTGCAGAGTCTCTAGATGAGTTTACAGTAGTCCCTCGTTCTTATTAAACATCCATGTTGTAGTCCGCTGTATAGAAAACTGTAGTTTCCATAGTTTCCCCACAGCAGCAGGCGCACATTTATGACCTCTGCTGGCGCATCATAAACACGTCGGATAGTGAAAGTGCAGTCGGATTCTATAAAGTGCCGCAGTCTCTTCTCCTAAATCCTTTTGAATTCTCCTATCCACTATCCCTTAACCCCATGACGTTTCACTCCGAGGTCAAGGAATAGACGATAGGGTTAGAATTTAGGAGCTGTTTTTTTGGAGTATTCGAACGCAACCCATGCCCCCCAAAATGCTCGTTCACATCAAGCACGTCAATTTGCATACACGTAACAGCACCGCACGTTCATAACAGCATGGTAATGTGTTGTTATTATGATAGATTTGATATTAACGAGGCGGCAGTTAGCAACTAGCGGTTAGCTAGTAATTATGCTAATTTACACATCAATCGTTATGTACTTTTACGCTGTAACAGGATCTAGTGATATCCAAGCAACAGAGCTTCATTTAGCATGAAAGAATTATTGCACTGTATATACATATATATATATATGTATATGTATGTATATATATATATATATACAGTGCAATAAGCTTCTTAGTGCAATAAGAAGCTACTGTACAGGGACGTTAATCTACGTCGGTAATATTAACTTTATTTAATACAACATTTACGGGACAAGATTTAATCATACAGCCCATGTAGTATAATATTTTACAAATTATGAATTACAGCAAACATGTGCAATATATCCATTATTACAGCTCCGTAGGCTGGCAGTAAGGCGATATGGGTCCGTTCTTATTGTGCATCCATGGGTAAAGATAAACGCATGTAGTGGCTTAACACGTAACATGAATGTGCCGGGCGGCGCGGTCCCGTGGGTTAGATGCGCGTTCATAATGCAGAGGGAAATAACTCACAGAATAACGTTATTAGCACATTTTTACAACTTGAGGAACGAATGTTTTTAATAAGGGCTATACAAGTGTTCATACTGGGTAGTTTATTTAGTTTAAAAATTATCCAACGATTTACAGACCA